AAATACGTATATGCATTTATAACTATCAAAATTATATATTTATACTTGTTATTGTTGTATCCCAGGATCTACATCTAACACAAATCATGAACAATATACTGAAGAGTCAATAACAATTCAACCATCAACTGATTATGTTATGTTAAAGACTGTTCCCAAATGCAAATTCTGCGGAGCCAAAAAATTTGAATACGAACCACCCGCATTTTGTTATCGCAAAGGCACTGTCAAGCTGATTTCACATCAAGTACCACAAGAGTTAAGAAATCTGTATCTAGGAAATACTGAAGAATCAAAGCATTTTCAAACCTACATAAGAACATACAATAATATATTTGCTTTCACATCCCTGGGAGTAAGCTATGACAAAGAGCTGGCAAAAAGGAATAAAGGTATTTATACATTTCGAGTTCAGGGACAAATGTATCATTTCATAAATGACTTGATACCAAGTAATGAAAAAGGAAAAAATCTACAATTATATTTCTATGATAATGAAAATGAAGTGAGCAATCGAATGGCATGTTCCAATAAATTGAACGAGGATACTGTGAAAAATTTAATGGAAATATTAAAAACCAATCCTCACACTACGTTTTTGAAATCCTTAATAAATATCCCACAATTATCAGACTTCTACATTGCGCTTNGTATTTATAGTAGAACTCCTACATGTATCTAGCCTAAACTTCATGTAAACACACTAACTAAATTCACATTAGTCTACACTAGTTCATACATCTCATAATGAAGTTCACATTAGTCTACATGCTAATATGAACTAATCTAAACATATTTAATACAAATGTGAACTAATGGAAACAAGTTTATTATAATTTTAACATCCCCCCTTAAACTTGTTTCATCACTCCAAGCGCCATCCTTAGCTTTTGAAAAACTTCAATCTTTAATGGCTTGGTGAAAATATCCGCAATTTGATCTTGCGACTTCACATGCTCAAGCTCCACAACTTTATTAGATATACAATCTCTAATAAAGTGATACCTTGTATCTATATGCTTGCTCCTTTCATGAAATACAGGATTTTTGGCTAACTCGATAGCCGACTTGTTGTCAACAAAAATCTTTGTGGCATCCTTTTGTGGTTGGTGAAGTTCCTCCAACAAACTTCTTAACCAAATTGCATGACAAACACATGAGCAAGCTGCAACATACTCCGCCTCACAAGTTGACAAAGTAACAATTGGTTGTTTTTTAGAATTCCATGTAAATGCAGAATTTCCAAGAAAGAAAACAAACCCAGTAGTACTTTTACGATCATCAATATCACCAGCCCAATCACTATCACAATATCCCACAAACTTAGAATCCTTAGAAGATGAATAAAGAATTCCATAATCAAGTGTATCTTTGATGTACCGAAGTATTCTTTTTGCTACCTTTAAATGGGAGGTAGTAGGAGCTTCCATAAAGCGGCTCACAAGTTCAACACCATAAAGAATATCCGGCCTTGTGCATGTCAAGTACCTTAAGCTTCCAACAAGACTCTTGAAAAATGTGGGATTTACATTTTCTCCATCTCCATGCTTGGATATTTTAACTCCACATTCAACGGGGGTGCTCACGGGATTGCAATTATCCATCTCGAACTTCTTGAGAATTTCCTTTGCATATTCTCCTTGAGAAATAAAAATCCCATCCTTCCTTTGTTGCACTTGAATGCCAAGATAGTAGGACATTAATCCAATGTCCGTCATCTCAAATTCTCTAGCCATTGCTTCCTTGAATTCTTCAAACATCTTAGGATTATTTCCTGTAAAAATCAAGTCATCTACATACAAGCAAACAAGTAAAATGTCTCCATTTTTAGCAATTTTTACATAAAGTGCATGTTCATGTGGACATTTTGAAAAACCATTTGCTTGAAAATATTTATCAATTCTACTATTCCAAGCCCGCGGAGCTTGCTTCAACCCATATAAAGCCTTTTTCAATTTCAAGACTTTATTTTCTTGTCCTTCAACCTTATAGCCCAAAGGTTGATCAATGTAGACTTCTTCCTCCAATACGCCATTCAAAAAAGCTGACTTCACATCCATTTGATGGATTTTCCATTGATTTTGGGCGGCCAAGGCAATGACAAAGCGAATTGTTTCCAAACGAGCAACCGGTGCAAATACCTCTTCATAGTCAATACCGGCTTTTTGCTTGTATCCTTTAGCTACTAATCTTGCTTTGTACTTTTCTACTTCACCCTTGGAATTCTTCTTTAGCTTGTACACCCATTTGACTCCAATGGTGCTTTTTCCTTTTGGAAGTGTGACCAACTCCCATGTTTCATTCTTTTTTATTGCCTTGATTTCTTCATCCATGGCATCTCTCCATTTGGAATTTTGGAATGCATCCTCAAAGCTTATAGGCTCACTATCCACCAATAAACAAAAATGAGTAAAATCATATAAATCATTTCTTACCACTTCCGTGTTTTCATACAAGTCACGGAGACTTCTACTCTTGTGAGGTGCTTCACTTGAACTTGAACTTGATTCCTCCACTTCTTGATTTTGTGGCGGAGGTGTTGATAATGGTGAGATAGGTTGCTCCACATCTTCTTCATCATCATCAAATAATGGACTAAAAGAGTAATCTTGCTCTTTAGTCTTCCAANCTTGTTGTCGACAGATAAGGCCCAGAATAGACCCGACTTAGTTAGCCGAATATTTCGAGCAAAACTAGAAGAGCTTAAAAAGGATATACTAAAAAGACAAATATTTGGTAAAGTTGCAGCATTTATGTACACGGTCGAATTCCAAAAACGGGGACTTCCGCATGCTCCTTTTCTTATTGTACTCGATAAAAAATACAAACTACTGACTCCTAAGGCATATGATAAATTTGTTTGTGCTGAATTACCGGATCCTAAAAGAAACTCTGATTTATTTAAACTTGTTATACAACATATGCTACATGGTCCTTGCGGTCAATTAAATCCAACTAGCCCTTGTATGAAGAAAAAAAAACGGACATTTTAATTTAAGTTTCCAAAAGAGTTTGCTAAACAGAAGAAAAAATTCATACCCTAATTATAGAAGATGAAATACAGGAAAATCTGTGGAAATTAGAGGACAACTTTTTGATAATTCATGGGTTGTTTCTTACAATCCATACTTACTTGGTAAATTTAATTGTCATATAAATGTGGAGATTTGCTCTGATATTAAAGTTGTTAAGTACATTTATAATATATTTGCAAAGGACATGATAAAATTGCATTTCATATACATCCTAATGACGAATATAGAAGTAGATGAAATAAAAGAATATCAATCTGCTAGGTGGGTGTCACCACCTGAGGCTGCATGGCGCATATTTGCTTTTCTTATCAGTGAAATGATTCCAAATGCATACCATCTTCAACTCCATCTTGATGGACAACAAATTATTTCCTTCAAAAATACAGACAATATTAGTAGAATTGTAAATAATCCTATGATTAAAAAAGGAAAAATGCATAAGTACCCTCCTGACCTATACCCGGATTTCTAACTACACACTTTTTCTTTGCGGGAATCCTATTACCCCCTAAACTTATTTTAAATGGAATTATTTGCACCCTTAAGGCTAACGTAGCAGAGTGTGTATTTCACTCTCCCAAAGGAGAGTGAGATGAGAAGAAAAAAAAACGATTTTTAGATTATCTTTTATTCGTTTTTACCATTTTTTCTTACTTTTCTCCTTTTCCTTTTCCTTTTCCTTTTCCTTTTCCTTCTCCCGTTTCTTTGTCTTTTTTCTTTTACTTTTTTTTTCGTTTCTTCTCTAATTCCGGCGGATATTCATTCACCGGCGACTTTGTCTAACCGTTTTTCTTTCATTTTTTCTTTTCACACACAAATTAAACTCTCAAAAAGATCTATTCATAAGCAAAGCGAATTACACTCAGATTTGGGGGAAAAAATTCATCATCGGAAAACCTTCCCACGCCGGAAAAAAAAAATGTATTGAAATTTTAACTGGAAAAAGTTTTCTCAGCTTATATTCATTTTTATTTCTTTTGCTCTTCCTCCCACACATAAATTATACTTTCAAGAAAAATTTATATATATAAAAAACAAAACACACTTAGATCGGGATAAAAATCTATTGCCGGAAAAAAAAAATCGCCGGAAAAAATGGTGTTTGTGAAATTTCGACGACCACCATTTTGTGCCGCCGGTGACCAAAACAAAAAAAAAAGGAGTGAAATAACCAAAAAAAATGAGAATAATAAGAAATAAGAAAAAAGGATAAGAAAAAGAAGAAAGAATAAAAAAAGTACTAAAAATACATGTGGGGGCGCATGTAGCTCACCATTTGCCAAGAGTTTGGTTGTCAGCGTTAAGGGTGCAAATAATTATATTGAAAATAAGTTTAGGGGGATAATAGGATTCCCGCAAAGAAAAAGTGTGTAGTTGGGAATCCGGGTATAGGTCAGGGGGGTACTTATGCATTTTCCCATTAAAAAAACAATGTTAACTGAATTTTTTAGAATGAATAGCGAAAATAAAATGCTATGACATTGAATTTATTATACCGGGAATTTCTAGAATATTTTGTATGGTCCGTAACATACAAAATGTGGTCGCATCGTCAACAAAGATATGCTATTGGTAGAGTTGTGACATGTCATCCAACCGAAGGAGAAAGATACTATCTTAGATTGCTCTTAATGAATGTAAGAGGGCCGAAATCGTATAAACATTTGCGAACTGTAAATGGAATAACTTGTGACACGTTTAGAGAAGCTGCGGAAAAAAGAGGATTATTACTTTGCGATAATAATTTAATAGAATGCATGTCAGAAGCAGTAAGTTACCAAATGCCACACAGTTTAAGACACTTATTTGCTGTACTATTAGTTTATTGCAATCCCGCTAATCCAAGAGAGTTTTGGGAAAAATTTGAAAGCCCGATGTCTGAAGATTTCAAAAAAATACCCAAACATGCATACAAGAGAAATTCGTTGCAAAGTACTAAATCATATTAATGATATTCTTCATTCAATGGGTCGTGATATCAACGAATTTGAACTAACTCAGGGCAAAATTCAACCATCTGCAACAGCCAAAGAAGCTAAAGATGTACATTTTGAAAGGAATATTATCGTTAATGAACAAGATTTACTATTGCCATATAAACTAAACATTGAACAAAGAAGAGCTTACAATATAATCCTTGATACAATATTCTCAAATAAACCCGGAGCATTCTTCATTGATGGTCCAGGCGGAACTGGAAAAAGCTTTTTATATCGTGCCTTATTAGCTACAGTGAGGCACAGAGGATTTATAGCATTAGCGATTGCGAGTTTAGGTGTTGCTGCTTCACTTCTTCCTGGAGGTCGAACTGCTCATTCTCGATTCAAAATACCTATTGATGTTGATGAAAATTTTAGTTGCAATATTAGTAAACAAAGTTCACTGGCATCATTGATTCGAGATGCAAAACTAATAATATGGGACAAAATTTCAATGGCAAAAAAAGAAATGATTGAAGCACTAGATTTGCTCCTTAGAGATTTAATGGAAACAACTATGTTGTTCGGCGGAAAGGTTATTGTATTCAGTGGCGATTTTAGACAAACTCTTCCCGTTGTCCGTGGTGGACAAAGGGAAGATTTTGTTCGCGAAAGCTTACTATGTTCTGAAATTTGGCATCAGCTTGAAAAATTACAACTGTCCGAAAATATGCGTACGAAAACAGACCCAGCTTTTTGTGAATATTTGTGAGAATTGGTAATGGAAAAGAAAGAAAACATGATAAGAGCAAAATAGAAATTCCCCGTCCACTGATCATACCCTTTACCACTGAAAAAGATTCCTTGAATCATCTATTTAAAGTTACTTATCCTGATTTATATTTAACTCTCTTTGATTGAAAGAGGATGATTCCTATAATACATTACTCCAGTCGAGTCCAATGAAATTTCAAAATGAAGATATTTTTATCAAATATTTCTTTTATTACTTCTCGCGCAATTCTAACTACAAATAACGACTTCATTGATGAAATAAATGATATGCTAATTGCTCAATTTTCAGCTAATGAAAAAGTCTATATATTTAGCTACCGATGAAACAATTGATCCAAAAGATCAAAGTGAATATGAAGATTTTTTGCACGCTTTAAATCCTCCTGGTTTACCTCCTTATAGATTGTGTCTAAAGAAAAATTGTCCGATTATATTATTAAGAAATTTGAATCCCTGCGAAGGTTTGTGCAATGGGACACGATTAATATGTAATGATTTCAAATCTCATATTATTAGTGCTACAATATCCAGTGGTGATTTTAAAAATACACATGTATTCATTCCGCGAATACCACTATTAACATCATAAGACGAAAAACTGCCCCTTCAATTTAAAAGAACACAATTTCCAATACGGTTATGTTTCGCCATGTCTATAAATAAAGCTCAAGGCCAAACATTAGATTTTGTTGGCATTTATTTGCGAGGACCTGTATTTTCTCATGGTCAATTGTACGTTGCTTTATCAAGAGCTAAAGGTTCTAACTATGTCAAGGTATTAATTAGACCGGCTATGACGATGATGATGATTGCTCCACATATAATGTAGTTTAAGATGAAATTATCGAAAAAGCTTTTTCTGTAAGTTAGACAATCATTCCTAATAGTAAGTGTGACGTACAACTAGTTCACTCTTTGGATTCTTTGATTTTGTATTATAATCATTTTGACAATCTTATGTTTGCTCGTTATTATATTGTGATGTGTTATAATTGCAGATTACGTCTAGATGGCAGAAAGATTCAACATCAATGTGATTACTCCAAAAACAAAAGAAAGGACCTGCAAGATACAAGTAGTTGATAAAGGCAGACCTAGAGACAACAGAGATAAAACGAAAAAGTATCAACTGATGATTTTGCAAGATGAAGAGGTAATCTTCAGAGGATTCATAAGTTTGCCAATAGTAATTAAGTTAATATTATCCTAATTGTGCTTTATTTTGTTACAGGAAAATCAAGTGGAATGCATTATATTCAATGCGGAGATAATGCATTTTGAAGATCTGTTTTGCCCTTTCCATACTTACTTGGTGTCAGTTGCACTGGTCAAAGATCTATATGTATGGAAATCCACTACAACTGAGGATCAAACTCATGTTGGCTTTCAAGATCGGCAGGTCAGCATGAGATTGTCTGAAATAGAATTTCTAATATACCTGACGATGCTTGTGTGATTTAGTTTAAGATTATTTTTGCTCAAATTTCTCAATTGGCAAATCTCCTTTTGTTCATGCTATATTTTCGTTACTAGAATGCTTTCGTTTCCTTTCACCAATAATTTTATTTTGAAATAAAGACACTAATAAACTTTTGGCTGTAATGGTTCTTGTGATGAACTTAATGAGGAAAATGCCGAGACTAATGAAATGTTTTTACTTTTTGGAGAAGCCATTAAGCTAGGTCGCGATTCATTTGGATATATAATCTATTACAACCTATATTCTACTTTGTAATAGGCATAGTTTGGCCTTTAAAGCTAGAAAAGTTAGAATTGAAATTACGTTTAACTCGTTAAACATTGCATCCAATAAGGCCAAATTAGATCCTTAAAGCTCGAAAGTCAGTCATTCTCATCAGACTATAGGAAAAATGTCGTGATACTTAATTTGTGCTCATATTTCTTATTGGGAAAGAGCACTACTTCTGCTACTTTATAAAATAATATATGAAGTCATTGGTCTTTGCTGGCATCTAGAATTTGGGAGGCCCTCTGATTTACTCCTGAGATCACAATGTAGTATGCTGTTTACGATGTGTCAAAATTGACACATCTCTGCTAAAATGTGAAATTGCAGAACGCTTTTCTAAAACACTTAAACTTGTCGATTTTTAAATAAATGATTTGAGTAAGCAACTCCTACTATACTTTTAAAACCACAGGAATTCAGCTGATGTAAGCTTTAGGCTACTCGATTATGGTTTCAGGCGATCATTTTGCTATTTGGGATGTATTCTTGATTTTCCTTTCCTAACATTTATTACTACTGGAAGTAATAGTTTTCATTGCTTCTCTTCCCTATTTTTCTGCGAGTAGGAGTTCTACTAATAATAATATTGTTACAGCCGACATTTCTGTGCAAAATGTTTGGTGTGGACAAAGATCACTTGATTTAGCCCATGTCTTTGCCTACAGCAATATTTGAAGAGAGGTTTCTGCAGCATCCAAGTTCCCTTTCAGATAGGATAATATGCCGTACAACCTTCCTGAATATTTATACTAATACTGATTCTTGGTTCTTGGTTGTTGATGGGTATCAGTATTAGTATAAATATTCAGGAAGGTTGTACGGCATATTATCCTATCTGAAAGGGAACTTGGATGCTGCAGAAACCTCTCTTCAAATATTGCTGTAGGCAAAGACATGGGCTAAATCAAGTGATCTTTGTCCACACCAAACATTTTGCACAGAAATGTCGGCTGTAACAATATTATTATTAGTAGAACTCCTACTCGCAGAAAAATAGGGAAGAGAAGCAATGAAAACTATTACTTCCAGTAGTAATAAATGTTAGGAAAGGAAAATCAAGAATACATCCCAAATAGCAAAATGATCGCCTGAAACCATAATCGAGTAGCCTAAAGCTTACATCAGCTGAATTCCTGTGGTTTTAAAAATATAGTAGGAGTTGCTTACTCAAATCATTTATTTAAAAATCGACAAGTTTAAGTGTTTTAGAAAAGCATTCTGCAATTTCACATTTTAGCAGAGATGTGTCTATTTTGACACATTGTAAACAGCATACTACATTGTGATCTCAGGAGTAAATCAGAGGGCCTCCCAAATTCTAGATGCCAGCAAAGATCAATGACTTCATATATTATTTTATAAAGTAGCAGAAGTAGTGCTCTTTCCCAATAAGAAATATTAGCACAGATGAAGTATCACGACATTTTTCCTATAGTCTGATGAGAATGACTGACTTTCGAGCTTTAAGGATTTAATTTGGCCTTATTGGATGCAATGTTGGATGAGTTAAACTTAATTTCAATTCTAACTTTTCTAACTTTAAAGGCCAAACTATGCTTATTACAAAGTAGAATATAGGTTGTAATAGATTATATATCCAAATGAATCGCGACCTAGCTTAATGGCTTCTCAAAAAAGTAAAAACATTTCATTACAAATGCCTCCCCGATCTCCATACATGCATCTCGAGCAAATTTTATCGCTGGAACATGTGTGTTGTTGTCTTCTTGGATAAAATTTACTATACAAATTATCCTAACATCCTGTATTAATTACTCTTTTTGAATGCAGTTACGTTCACTTTTGCGCCTGCTTTTTGGATGCTCCTCTACTCGTTAAATGTTGCGGCGACATGAGGTTAGCGTATTTGATTACAAATCTAAATTTCAATTGCTTTTTTTCAACTTAACTAAATATTCATTTTGCTATATTATTTTGATAGTAAACTACTGAAAGTTTTACTAAAATATTGAGATATAAAACTATACTATAATAATATAGAATATATAATAGTAATTAATAAGAGGTTTGGTTGGTACTAATAACAACTCTTATATTGTCTTTCTTGTGATCTTTAACTTTTTACTTGTATTTCTATTTGAATTCTCTGCTCATGTAAAGAGTCTTACACACAAGAGATTTAGTGAAAATGGTTTTACCTATTTCAATGTAAGTATCCTTTATTTAATTTCAATAATTAATAATCTTTTTAGTTTGCGTAAAAATATATCAAAGAAGTCATAAAATTGGAGAGGTCAAACTTATTTCTGTACATTGTTTGACATAGCTCTCCTTGGTAGTAAAACCAACCATCATTTTGAAAGACAAACAAATATCACGGCAGAATTTTCCCCTTGGCATTAAGAATCAAAAGTACACATGATCAAAGAAGTATAACACGTTAACCATCATTTTTGGTGCAAGGCACTGAATGATTTACTCTTCTACCTCTTCACTGCACATTTTAAAATTAATTCAAATGCCGAAAAGTAACTTTTATCTAATAGCATTGAAGCCATAGCCAAGAAAGGTAGAAAGTTTAGAGATATGGTAAAGTCTCTCTCCAATAAGTCTTTTGTTTGTAGGCGAATTGAACTTTGGATGCTTGTACAAAAAAATAAAAAATTTAACTTTGGATGCCAATTGAATAGAAAATCTATAAATTTGTTGGAACCAAATTTTGTACAGAAAGACCTTCTTAGTTCCTCCAAGTCTCTAGGGGCAAAAAAGAACAACCTTGGCTATGTGCAGAAAGTCCTTCTTAGTCCATATTTCACATCAGAACATAAGGAATGAAACCAAAGACATAGTCTGCTTGGCTATGTGCTAACCTTTACATAGCCTACTTGGTTTTGTTAAAGCAAGCTTAATCGAATTACATTAGTGGTGTTGTTTACAGAGCATTGCATTTGCTGTCTTTAACTCTTTTTTTGGCTTTCGTCGCTCGGTATACTTTTTTACTATGTTGGAAAATGATGAAATTTCAAAAACACTTCAACATGTCAGATTTGTTTTGATGTTCTGTTTTGTTTTGCTTTTATGGCCACGCTTAAATCACCAGTAATTTAAATTGATCTTTCTTGGCATAAATTTAAATGTTTAAGCTACAAAGTTTATCGTAATTGCTTTTCTGTTTCAATTATTTTCTGTTTCATATATGCTCCGACTATTAAACCAGTACTTTTTTGTGTTGCTTACCTGAAATTTTGCCATGTTGTGTATTCCAA